GACTTTTTTTTATTTTTTTTATCTCATTTTAGCCTATTTGGCATATTTTAGCCTATTTTATTTCACAGCAATTTAGGTATGTGATTTTTTGAAAAGCAATGGTCCACTTTAGAAATTTAGAAATTGCTTTATTTCAGAAAATGAAATTAAATGAAAATGAATGATGTTAGCATTACACATTTAACCAGTTATGGGAATGAATGTCTCTATCTACCACAAACGCCTTACAGTGATTCAGTATAGCTTTTATATTGTACTTACCCATATTTTAACTGAAAATTGTCGAAAAAGGCCGGACTGTAGCTCCTACAAAAATGAATAACCTAGCATGTTATGCTAACTGCCAGTTGTATTCCTTAGCAACCACCGAGAATTAGCTGTAAGCTAAGTTAGTCAGGATCGTTGTACTTTAAGCTAGCTGGACGTTTAGGCCCAGGCTACTTGAAAGGTTACACTGATTAAAGGTTATTTCTTATTTTCAGTAATTCAATAATAGCACGAGCGTGTTAGGGTGCTATCACAAGCGTGGACAAGTTTAAGATAATTCCTCAACTGTGTCGGGTTACATTCATTTTACCCGGTTCCGTCAGAAGATGATTAGCCGAGCCGGGGCTCAGGCAAGCAGGCGGGCAGGCGGAGGCCCGGGGCGCAGGTTGAGCTGAGGGGGAGGCAACACAACAACACGCCTTGGCATGCTAGAGGGGACGATGAGGGTGGGTATGAATGAGCACAGGATCCTCAGACTCTCTGGAGTCGGAGAGCCGCTTTCCAGACGTTTTATGAAGTCAGCCTAACAAGAGAAAAACAGAGAGGAACTTGGTCCAAGACAGCCTGGGGCAACAACATCATGGAAACATTTCTCACGTCTCACAAGTAAAGTCTGTGATCTCTGAAGACGAGCAGATTGACCTACATTACTATTAATGTGGCTCATGTAGTGCCTGTAGGCTACACGGGGAACACAAGCACACGTCAAAAACTAAATTTATTGCAGCCAGGAAAACCTTTATGAGATAGATAGATAGATAGATAGATAGATAGATAGATAGATAGATAGATAGATAGATAGATAGATAGATAGATAGATAGTGGGGTCTTGTTATTATTACACAATGATATCACTTAGTTCTCATTCAAGATCATCTCTGTCTGTCCCACGCTTCCCTTCAAACGACCACGGGCCATAAAGTGGGATCGTTTCCTTGTACATAATTAGGACTGTAGCTTGTCAGCGGTTGCTATATCTCCATGATGGTGGCCTCCTCCCTCCCTGGGGCTGACAGGATCACATCCTAGGCATGCAGCAGGTCTGTGCTGTGCACCAACACAACATTACATGTACATGTATACAGGCCTATACGCCTTTGGGTGGACCTCTGTTGAGTTAAATTGTCTATACTGTTATTGTACAGAGTATGATCATGGCAGGTCTGCATGATCACCATGGACTGAAATGACAATATTAGCTGTTTTTTTCCCCTACCATTCACTTATGTGGTCTCACTTACACACCAGTTTTGAAGTAATCAGCACAGATTCCTAAATAATACTTAAGTAAATTATTTTACAATATTTATTGATTTCTGCCTAAAAAATAAAATAGGATTTCTGGATGCTCCATGTGACTTCATTCATGGATTAGAGCTGCTGTGGTTTATACTTTTGCATTTCTCTAGGCAACTTGTAAATGCCATACCCTCCTAATTTATACCCTGATCTGTAATTTCATCCACATTTGCTCTGGTTTGAGCATTCTGGCTTTCAAATCTGAAAGCCTGCAATTACTATATAATTCTTCGCAATTTTAGATGTCCTAATATGGGGTGTAATTTTTACACAAGACAATTTCCCGCTATTTCAAGCATCAACATTGTCAAAGTTGTATGTACATAATAAATGGGAATATCAATGCATAGTTTTTAGCCTAACATCTTGACTCAACGATAATTATATCCGTGTGGAGCCTACGCAGAATTAGCCTGAATTGCATGGTAACTGCTGCTTTAAATTTTAAAAAATTACTCATAATTTCCCCCAAAGATTACCAAGATCTCGAGTGCACAATGTCATCAGCGTAATGAGGAGTAAACATTTATGCTAATAATCTACATTTTTTTCCATCAGCTATAAAGAGGGGAAATAAAGCAGACATTTTCAGTCATATTCTGAACTCTGCTGCTATAGCTCAGACCAACACATGGGACACATTTTGTGGGATTTAAGCGCTCATCGTGTGTCTGTGCTGCAGGATGCTGCTGCTCATCTGCCTCCATGCTGATTTCGGAAACCCCTCAGAGGGAGCTGGCCTCTTCAATATCAAGCTGAAAGGTGTGTATTAAATGCTTATTTCTTACATTTTGATTGAAAGTAGCGCGGCGACTGAATGCATTTAAGATCCTAAAAAAAAACAGGAAACAGATTCTCGTCACAGGCATAATTCACCCATTTCTCTCCTCGCCATAACATTTATTTATTTTTACTCTTATTCAAATCGGTGAATGTTGCTGATTCCTTGATGATCTAAAACTATTTCAAACACCAGTCCCTTAATAGTGACATTCTAGGCCTATTTTATCCTGTAACTTAGGTTGAAGAAAAAAGAAGTCTGCTGTGTATTTAACGTGCAACCAGGGAGCTTCTTTTGTGGAAAAGAAAGTCTTATAGCTGAGCAAGCTGCTCACACCGAGAGGAAATGTAGCCTAAGGAAGGGGGTGGGGGGTGAGGGGTGGGGGGGTGGGGTGGGGGGCACACAAGTTGTTTTTTTAATTTGGTCGCTGCTTTCATTACTCTTGCATTGTGCTTTGCTAATTTTGAAGCCTCTTCGCATTGACAACTCCGTGATGTACACCTGCAAGCAATTTGCCAGCCTTATACATAGGCTAAGTCTAAGGGAACAGTGACGAAATGGCAGCTCACCTATTTCTCTATGTTTTTTTTTTTTTTTCTATGGCAGCAGCAAATTTCTTTCAGAGCACTATCTCTTTTGTCAACGCAAAAAGATCCTCCGTGCGAAAAAAATTGCTCATAATTACCTCAGAGATAGGAAACTGCATTAGAATAAATAAGGGCGAAATTACTGTAATTATGCTGGGTTTGATGGGCTCAGCTCGTATAATCAAGAGGAGAATACAGCGAAATAACACTGACCCTCTTGGATGTGCAGCTGCGCCTTTCTAGGGCTAGGTAGGCAGATTTATGTTCCCTTCAGCAGCAATAGCACAATTCATATTCTTTCTTAATAGTATCGAAATATACATAGGCCTATTCTATATGTAAGCTCGTTCACAAAGGACTGTATTTGTTCTGCGGTTTGAATTAAAATGGAGAAGAGTGGAGAGTGCAGGGTTGAAGCAGAGGATGTTCTACAAAGAAGAAACACTGTAGATAAACTAGACCAGATCTTATTTCTTTTTAGTGCCTCAGACGGTTAGTATATGTGAACGTGTGATGATGTTGCTGCATATAATGATAATGATAATAATAATAATAATAATAATAATAATACATGTTGAGGTGATAAATTAATGAATCATTGTAATGGTCTGATTTATCTCTTAAAACCAATGAAACATGGAACAAATGAAAATTGAATAGTGCTCGGTTGTGATGTGGTGGTGGTTAGCTTTGACCTGTCTGGACTCATGTTGGTTTCAGTCAGTTTTAAAGGGAGGCTCTGCAGACCGTAGACATTGCATCAAATGTGTCATTATAATTGCAAAACATTTATATATTCATGGAGATATGGCAGCAGGAGGAGAGCGTGCACAAGCCGCGCGTTTGCAATACATTTCTTTCTTTCATTCTTTATTTCCTCTCAGACAAACAGCAAGATGTCAGAAAATAAATTTTGTTTGTATGGTGAATATTTTTGCCTTATTATTTTGATTTTTAATTTCATTGTTTATAACAAATTTTAATTCTAAATTTATAATGAATGAATAGGCCTATTATATTTTTGTCCTCTGTCTTATAATTATTTTGCAATGTATAGTCCAGTGTAATGTTGTTTGAGCAGGTAATTTACTACTACTGCAGATTTATCTTTTAGGCATTTATAAAAATAAATAAATAAAAAGAGCAGAAAGGAAAAAAAGAAAGATAAATGCATGCACACAAAATATATATATATTTTTTTACATTTTTAAAATTTATATCTAACCAAACTGGTAGCATTTTACGATTTAACAAATTAAAATGCTCCCTGCAAAATTGCGTAATAGAGTAAATGAGTAAAGTGTGTGAATAAAGTGAAAAGTTCAAAGAAGGCCTTTGAACTTTTCACTTTCACCGATCTCTATCTGATCCGCCCTGTGTCCCGCTTGCTCATCCAGTCTTTTTGCAGCACCTGCCTCTTGCGCAATTATTCACTTAACACACTCAATTGATCTTTCCCATTCATGACAGAAAATAGGGATTGTCAAAGACAAGTAGAGAGAAGATTATCTATAGGAAAAGTTGAAAAGGAATAAGCGATGTTGTTGAATGAATCAGGTCTCCCGCGCCGCCACGGTTAAACCACAATAACATAAGCGAAGCAGCTTATATAGGATCCACTGTGATTTCTGAAATATTTAGCGTCGTATGTCATTATTTGTTTGTTTTCCATTTTACTCTTAAACCGTAGCTCAACTACGTGTAAAGACATTTTCGTGTAGATGCATAAATTAGTTTTTTTTTATTTTTTAGATGCAACACCAGATTTCTAATTCTTAAGTCACTCCAGAGGTTTGACAACATCTGCAACCAGTGAGCAGCAGCAGCAGCACAAACCCATGTAGGCTAAACGACCATAAATCTAAACGACGAGCCTTTTGCAGCTCACAAAAACGCACTTACATGCTGCCTGCTACAATAACCAACATGATACTGCTTTGTGTCAGCTCACATTAAACCTGCACCATGCTGAAGCCTTTTCTTTTCACATGAGAGGAGGGTGGAGAGGGGGATTTGAATTAGACACCTTTCTTGACATAATTTAAATCATTATTTTACTGCTTTTGAAACTTTGCACATTATGTACATAAACTTCAGAAACAGATAAATAAATTAAAGAGATCAATACAAAACTAAATATTTTCTATGTTGACTAACCACATCTCGACAAATACAGAAAGCCTAAAACCCTGTTTCACAGCGTATCCAGTACAGCACAAAAACAAATCTGAAAATTATGTACAAAATACAGTGACATATGAGCTGCTCACCCTCAGGATTTTTTTTCTTAAGCAGCAAATCGTCAGGCCTTTTACATTTTTCACATAACATCGGGGCACGGCATAGAAAAGCTTTGCTTGCATTAGTGCAGCATTAACAACACAGTGTTGTTATTTCAAACACACTTACAAAATGAACACAGACCGACCTCAACAGAAAAACTAGTCTGAATAATTTAACTTAAATAACAAACACATATAAACAACATAGTAGCAATTTGAGGCTTTGCACAATATGCTCTGTGGTTGAATGTGCTGTAAGCATAATGGCCGGATGGTTACTGGTGGAATTTATAAACTGTTATTATTTGGTCAGAGAAACGCCCCTGTGGCCTAATTAACCTTTAACTGTTGATGAATGCAGATTGATTTTAGGTCTTCATCACCTTGGGCCCGACATCTGGCGTAAACAAACACGTGTTTTCTTATAAACATGTAGCCTACAGCTCAACAACAGAATAACTCACACAAATATGATTTTTTAAAAATAGAAACTGACACAAAAGTGATAAACAGCAGCCAAAAAATGATCCATTTGTCTTCGATTTCCGCTGACTGTCACGGACTTGTTGCCCTTGGGCACATTGCGTGCCTTTTCAGTCTCCCAGCTCCCTCCTCCTCCTCTTCCTACTTCTTCTTTGCTGCTTGCCGTCATCCGGTATGAGGAGGCCACTGTGTCAGCTGGCGGCATGCGGCAGCAAACTCCGGGGTTGGTGTTGTGCATTATCAGTGCTGGGCCGCGCTGAACGGCTGTGAGCCCCTTCACCATCCTGACACACGAGCCATGAGCAGAGTAGAGGGCTGAGGTCTCTGTTCACATGAGCTGTGACTGTTGCATAGACTCTTGGTGTGTGGTTGGATACCATGAGGTGTAGCTGGGAATGTAAGATCCGGTTGTGCCCACTGAAGTCTTCACGGTGGTCGGCGAGCTCCAAACAGGTGCCACCGAGGGAGAGCCGCTCGAAAGTCCACGGCCAGTGGCTAAAGCATTGGTGTCAACTGTGCCACCGCCTTGCTTCATTAGTTTCTTGAATTTAGATCGCTTATTCTGAAACCAGATCTTCACCTGGAAAGACAAAGGAAATAAAAAATTGAAACTGAAGTTAAAAAAACAGACTAAAAGACACTTCTGAAAAAAAAATATGCAGGTTTTACGCACACTTTACGCACGCAGCAGATTTAATTAAATAAGGTCAAGATCAAGAAAAATAATATTGGCTATTAATACACTGCTCTTGCCTATATATATGTGTGTGTGTGTGTGTGTGTGTGTGTGTGCGTGTGTGTGTGTGTATATATAAACACACACATACACACACATATATATAGTGTATAGTATAGAATATAGTGTGTATATATATATAGGTATATAGTATAATTTGTACCCTAAAAATATAGCAATTAATTAATAATAATTAATAATAATAGCCTAGCAATAATAAGAAGAAGAACCATATAGCCTAGCTATGTTGTGAAAAAGTGTTCCTGGATGTTCCAGCAGAGTGAAGCTATTCGTGAGTCTGTTTCATGGACTTGCCTGTGTCTGAGTGAGACCCAGCGACGCTGCCAGTTCAGCTCTCTCCGGTAACGCCAAATACTGAGTTTGTTGAAATCTCCTGTTCAAAGCTTGAAGCTGTAAACTCGAATAGATAGTCCTTGGTTTTCTAATCTTTTTGCCTTTGCCGTTGAATCGAACTTCTCCGCCTTCGACCACTGTGTTTTTCTCTGTTTCTGGTGCTGAGGGAGACAGAAAAGAGCAAAGAAGGAAAAATGAGGAAGCAGTTATAGCCAACAGTGTTGCGCAGCAATGAATACTCCAAGCGCTGTACTTTAGGTATAATTATCCTTAATTGCATACATTGTTTATAGCGTTACGCAATAAATAATTACCAAGCCTAATTCCAACGGCTGGGTCCTCTTTTCAATGCAGCGAGGTTTTTATAAAGTAGACAGCCGTGTTTACTCAGAAAGTTGATATTTAAGATGCTGATGCACACTTACCTGTATCCTCTAACCGTGTCTGTGTGAGTGCCGAGCTGTTTTGGTAGGTCTGTACTGTGCTGAGATATGGACTGGTGGAATGGCTGCCGACGGAATTTACGTATGGATAACCCAAAGATCTGGGGAACGATGAGCCAGGACTGTAGCTGTCGTGCTGGGTATGACCTGCAGAATGTAAACAGTGCATGGGATAGTGTCCGTGAGACATGGAGGAAGGCGACATTTGTTGACTCGGGGGTCCAAACTCCATGAAAACGGTTTTTCCTGAGGCAGGGCTATTAAGACTTTCTGGAATTGTAGTCATTGTCATCTCTTCTGGCGGTTCCGCTTGTCTTGCTTTTGTTGTTTTCCTTCTATGATCTCAGTGAAGGATGGGTCCCAATTTAAGCCGAACTGATTTTTTCTCTTTCCATTCATAAGAAAATGTAGTTTGTGCCTGTGAAAAGTCCTAGGTATGATGCTGTGGACCAAGACAAACTCGCTCAAAGGTTTGAATCTCGGACTCATGAATATTCATCAAAGACTGTCGCTGATTGGTCCACCCTCTCCAAGAGGGAAGCCGATTGGCGACGCTGGGGCTGGGTCCGAAGAACCTGATAAAGTCAAGGAACACCACAAAACCTCAGATTTCCTCTTGACATGTCAAGATTCACCATTATGATTATGATGATGATGATGATTATAATTATTATTATTATTATTGTTGTTATTATTATTATTATTATTATTATTGTTGTTGTTATTATTATATTTTGGAAACCATAATAATATTTTATATTGTAAAGTGATAACATATGTTTCTGATTCCTATTTGTCTCAACATCATCCAAAAATGTTGTCATTTACATCAGTGCAGCGCTCTATAATACAGTAAAATCAGGTCTGTCATATTGTATTCCGAATTGCCGTTTGTCTTATATCCGTCTAAACGTCATTTAATAAAGTTAAATAATATTTCCAGCCTCGTTAAAGCTGCTGTGTCTGCTGGCCAGTTTGATTAAAGCCTTTTTGATTAAAGCTCCTAATGCTCTATCAGGAGGAAGGTGTATTAGCATAACACTAGTGTTCAATTTTCATAAGTAGATCTGTAATTAGTCATGTATTTAACACTTACTGTGGCTTGAGGTCTCAGTTACACCTGGCAACAGTGGGATATTAAAACAGTTTGGTCTGATGTCAAATGAGGAGGTTTATTGGTTCAGGTATTGGCCTAATGATGTTTTATAAGCGCTGAAAACGTAGAACCACATCATATAGCCGCAGGGTATATATAGCCTAGTAAAACAATGTTTTTTAATTAACTGCGTGGCCATTCAGCTGTGACAGATCAACGTGTAATTAAATAAAAGTGATCTAAAACAGTCTTTATTAATATTTCGACGCACTTGGTTACTTCGTATGAAGTTTGAATCATTCTATAACAATGTGATATACAGTATAATCGTGGGAAAATTGTTTATTTCCTTTTTCGGAATAGATTTTTCCCTCCCAAGCTCTCCTGCTTTTACAACACAGCCATGCATGAATGCACATAGGCCTATTTTCTTATCACTCTGAAATGGTTTTCAAGCGACTTTACGCACCTTCTATCGCAATCAATTAATGGTCAGAGTTTTGTTAAACACTGGCACCTTTGATTAGCATGAATCTAAGTGAGGATGGGGGGTGCGGCCAGCCTCCCACAGCCTAACAAGAATAATTATCCATGGACATTGGATTTAATTGAACTGACGACTGACAAAACAGGAGACATTTTTCTTGAGCTGCATGCTCAGACCTCCACACGTTAAGGCTCAAACAGGACCGCTTGCTGCAGCAGTTTAACCGGCCTACATTTAAAAGCGATATCCAAATTTCAACCAGCAGCTAAAAAAAATAAGCAATGTTTGTCCACTTACTTAAAAAAAATCACGTGATGGAAAAGAAGCAGATAAATCCGCGCTATCCGGGGTCAGAGAGCCTCCACAGGATGCACATGGTGAAAGACGAAGAAGAAGAAGAAGAAGAAGAAGAAGAGGAAAGTATCCAGCAGCTCTTCATATTATTAGGATTCATTTGCAGGCTGCAGCTCTTCTTCTTGTGTCTGAGCAGAGCAGGAACACAGCCTCGCTCCTCCATCCGCAGTCCCTCCAACTCCACCTGAATAACAAATTAAAGGCAGTTAAATTCCGTCACTGTGATTATCAGTGTAATTACATAATTGATCTCAAAACAGAACTAGCAAGTTGCAAAATGTGTTATCAAAATGCAGACTCTGACATCACGGCGCGTGTGCCACAGTGTGCCAGGCGGCTGCGGATGCCTGAATTTAAAGATTTCTGTGAAATATTAGGCTATAACGAAAGCTGGTCCCTTGTCCCCTAAAATAGGCCAATTTGAAGTGATTTCTCTGGAATTACTTTCGAAAAATGCTTCAAGATTTCCTCTATCAACAACGACAGTGATAATGGTAGTACAACCAATAATTATCATCTTCCAGAACAGAGGACAGATTTTTATGGGTACTTGGTGGGTGCGACTGATAACTGTCATTATTTTCCCACGATTATAGTATCTGCAAACTGAAACGCGGCTGTGAGGGAAACCATTAACAGAATAGAGGCAGAATTTGAAGAAAAATGTAAAATAATACCACAAGAATACTACTAATAATAGCAATAATAATTAGAGGCTTTTTGCTGAAGTGAATGTAATTTAGGGCTGAAGAGGCTTACAGAATGTAGTTCTGCATATATTATATTAATTTTATTGATACCTTTTGCAAATTCAATCATTTACAAAGTTCTGATTTGCTTGCAATCTTAAGGATTAACTCTTTATTTGAGGGATTTTCTGAGGCCATCCTCAGTGTCATAAGAATGAGCAGGCATGTGATAATATTACCACTTTAATTTATAATTTGACTCCTGCGCTCGCTGGCAGGAGGGCAGCACAGGCCACAGCGGTCCTTCCTGCGGCATGGCAGCAGGGCTCTAACTAGCCACACTAAAAATAAAGTCCTCCATGCATGGATGGAGCGCGGAGGCAGGACTCATTAGGAGTGAGTAGCTCTGTGGCTGAGGGTGTTTTAACACCTGCTGCTCTTCACCTGAGGGTTAGCGCAGAGGTGGAGAGACTAGGGGTGGGGGTGCTGGGGGTGTTGGGGGGGGGCGATGTGGGGCGGGGGGGGGGGCTGCGGGTGGGGGGGGGGTGGGGGGTAGAACGGGCCAAGATGTCACAGACTTCATTTCAGTCCGGTGATAGAAAGCCCTCCTCAACTACCATGCCAACCCACATTTTAACAGCCACCAAATATTATCCCGACCGCGGTGCATTGGTAAACTGTGTATCCATGCTGTGTGAAGGCTCAGCTCCCTGTGCTCCCTGCAGACTCTGCATGGGAGCAGTGATTAATTATTGTCATTGGAGGTGCAAGCAACTGTGAGGTTTTTTTTTCTTATTTCCCCTGCTCATGAAGGAGACATAATGCTGCTTTAAAACATGCATTTACATGTTTCTTTTATATAGGATGCAGTTATGTGATTTGTTGTTTTTTTTCAGCTTCAGCTTAATCATGTCTAAAGGTATTTGACCATTTCAGCTGACTTTACTCAAAATACTGTATCTGCAAATTCAATTCTTTTAAATTCACATTTTGATCAATTTTCACATCTTTTATTTGCTGTCACAGAGGCCTAGATGCATGCACTCAGTAGCCTATCATGCTGCATAAATGACAATCTCAAATATACTAATTCATAACAAAAAAAATAAAATGTTCCCACACTCTGTGATGCTTTTTTTTTTTTTTTAAAACATTAATACAGCAGCTCATCCTTTCTCAAACTGCCCATTATGGACATTATTACTACATCACCTCAACTACAAATACAAATATAATTTGGCGAGTGACTGGCAGCAGAAATGTCACACTATATGAAGGTTGTATTTCACATTTTAAAGGCAGTGGATCAAACAAGTGAAATTGCCTTTTGTTCTGCTTCCTGTCTGGTTTTTCTGCTCGCTGCCATCCTGTAATTTGCGGCGTCAATGAACGCAAACTAGATGCACTACAATTAACTCGATTCAGTGTCTATTTTCATGTTCAGTGTGGCATCAAAATGTGAATTGATTTTGTTTACTGAGTTATATGTAAACAAAAAATGAATCATAATATCTGAGAAACAAGATTGTTACTCTGGTTAATTGATTGCATTATCATAAGGGCCAGGAGAGATACAGGAAGAAAATGAAACAGTGTTAAGTTTTTTTGTGTGTTAAGGTTTTAGAAAATACCAAACAGCCCAAACCAAATTTACTATCTCAGAATAATTTAATGTATTAAAAAACATTATTGGAAGGTTTATTTTTGTGTTATAATCAGATTTTATAACTTGATTTTCTCACCTGCAAGTGGTCCCTCTTTCTGAAATTAAATTAATTTAAGAAACAAGCACGTTATTTATTTCTTAAGGGCCCGATGAGTCATTTTTTCCATATAAATTAAAGTTTATTCAGATAATTAGATTTTCTAAAAACAAAAAAAATGAAAACATTACTAACTTGTTATTTATTTAATCAAAAGATCTGTCAGTTTGGGAGTAAAAGCAGCTTTAAATCCTGTTAAAAAATTTTTGTGTTGGGGCTAACCTTTACATTTGGATCACAGATTATGCTTATTATACATATTAAAAAAGTAGATCAAGTCCTTGTTTTAACAGGCCAAACATATAGAATGTTTTTTCATAGCTAATAATAATGAAACAATGAATTAGTGTTGATTTGTACTGGGAAGTAATGTTTGCTTTCTTTGTTTTCAGACACTGATGACCCTAAGAGGAAACTGCATCACATCATTTGGGGATGTACTGATCAAACGCTCCTGGGACTCCAATTTGGACTTGTTGCTCAGAAGACTGCTCTATTTTTTAATTTATTTTGTTTTTATAATTTTTTTTTTTCCTCATGCAGAAGCAGAACATTTACGAAAAATTATGAGCCCAAGTAACTATCATTCTCTACTGCAAAAACTTCTGTGGATAAAAAGAAGGAATCTATAATCAACACGTGTACAATGGGACTTACAGCTGGTCACTGCAGAGTTGAGAAGTCATATTTCAACTCCTTTCCCCCTTTCAGTCCTCAGAGCAGCTCTCTCCTCGGAAAGCTGGGGTCACAGTGTGGATAAGCCCCCAGCGAACTGGTAGAAATGCTGTCCCCATTACAGCAGCAGCAGGGGTCAGGCCATGGCAGCAAGCATCCAACCTGCCCGAAATTGGCTGCAAAATGACCAATTACCTGAGTGAAGGCTGGGGAGAAAGGACTTGGGAAAATATGGCTTTTACTTAATTCAGCTAAACTGTAAAAGAAGCTAGTGTCACATTGACGCGTCATACTTGCCACATGTTACAGTATGAAATCTTCAACTTATCAGAAAATCAATTTTAAAGAAAATCAAAATTTAATAAACTCTTGGTTTGATGTGACAGAGCTGGATTGCAGGTGATAAAATCAA